AGGGCCAGTTGTTTGCAAAGGTGTTTAGAGGCCTAGCATGACTTTCAGAAGTGTTTAGGCACCTACCTCCGTGGATGTTCTGACCATGCCATGAGGCATTTATCACTGCAGTGTCCTTTCCCCCTGCCCTTTTCATTTGTATGTAAATTCCTCTCTGTTTTAAACCCTTTCTTTCTCCAAATCCACTTGTGGCATCTCATGAAGTAGCCTGTTGCCTATGAAAGCTCATACCTCTCTGAACTAGTTAGTCTCTGCAGTTCCACCCTCTCCTGCCTTCTACTTGGAAATGTAGTCAGCCTTGCAGTACTGACTCCAGGTCACCTTTTATCTTGTAGGTGTTATCGATGACCGAGGAAAGTTCATCTACATCACCCCAGAGGAGATGGCCGCTGTGGCTCAATACATCAGACAGAGAGGACGAGTCTCCATTGCTGAACTGGCCCAAGCAAGCGATTCCTTGATCAACCTGCAGCCTGACAGCAAAGCAGTAACTCAGACTGTGGCATGAGGATACATCCCACGGTGTGGGAAGACACAGCCATGTTGGCCTTTAAAAAAAAAAAATGCTGTCTGTTTTTAATGATGAGAGAGGGGATATGATGGTCACATCCCAACATGAATTGGAAGACTTCATCATGAGTTCTGCTTCCAAATGGATTAGAGTAGGTAACTGGAATAAAACGGGGTGTCATTATTTTGTTTTGCAAAGGATGCTGGAGAAGAACTTGGCAAAACTGCACTTTGTCCCTCTTTTGCTCTGGCTCAGGGATTTCAGTTATAGTGCCTGATTACTTTGTCATGTCAGTGCATAGCCCTTACCCCCAGGCGCACCCATAAGCACATCTAAGCAGTCCGGATCCCTCTCAAGACTCAGAAACCTGCATTGTTTGTGGGCAGAAAGATTGTTCTGGGTAAGTACACATCATCCCAGACACCCATTGGCTTCCAGATTCCTGTGTCCGCTTCACATCCATGTAACAAAATTGCAGGGGGTTTATCCAGCTAGTTGTGCAGCCCAAATTCTAGTTTTAAAGTAGTCTAGCATGGCTGGATGCAGGTGAGGAAAACAGATCTATCATGATACCTGCAGCTTTTGCTGTATCTTCCAGAAATGACCAGGAAGATAAAAAAAGAGAGATTAGAACTTTCTCTCTGTATAGCACTTCCCAGGTTCAGAGAACTTCAAACATTGAATCTTTGCAGCCTGTGGCACATAAAAGACCTCCATCGGATGCATAGAATGCCAAAAGCACGCT